GGGGACTCCGCGTGGTGGACCTGTGTGTCGTCCACAACGTGCAGCACGGGGATCCTCTGCTTCACACAGGTTTAGGGAGCAGCTCTCCCGGGCTCTGCGGTCCTCTCACCTCACAGGGAGCGGAAAAGGGGGGTTAGCAGGGCGAGCCGCAGCCCCTGGTGTCAGGGTCACTAGTGACACTCACCGCCTTCTACCTCACTAGCCTAATTCCCCTCACTGGTCTTGGTAGCTTGGCGAGGGGCCCCCAAATCCTCATTTGTGAGGGGCGTGAGCACCCCAATCTTGTCACCTTCACTCCTCCCTAGAAGGCATGAATACAGAGCAGAGATATTTCTTTAAGAAGACATCCTGTTGCTTAGAAAGAAGTGGTTTGATTCAGTGGCAGTCATGAGGTCGGAAAAAAAGAGAAGTCTCAAAACAGTAGACACTCATGTGAAAAAGCGCAAGGGAAGTTCTCAAGTAGTTTTTTTTTTTAAATATATCTTTATTGATTTCAGAGAGAGGAAAAGAGAGGGAGAGAGAGAGAGAGAAACATCAACGATGAGAGTCATTGATTGACTGCCTCCTGCACGTCTCTGACCGGGGATCGAGCCCGCAACCCAGGCACGTGCCCTGACCGGGAATCGAACCCCGATTGCCTGGGTCCTAGGTCAATGCTCAACCACTGAGCCACGCCCGGCCGGGCTCAAACAGTTTTCATCATACAAAACCACGCAAAGCGCACTTATTAAACCAGTCTGCTGCAACGTGATAAAGGGTGAGGACTCTCAGTGCTAACGTGAAGCCCCCACCATGACAGTTTTTAGGGGAATGGGTCCGCTAAGGAAAGACCAAAATTAGCAAAGTACTGGGCACTGTGGGGGAGCATCAGACCACGATTTACAATTCAGACAAGGAAAAAAATAGCTGCACACGTGAAGCAACCCGAAGACGATGGTGGTACTGAGATCACCGTTAGACCACTGGGCCATAAGATAATCTCACTTTTCTGAAATTCCTAAAATAGAGGAACAATTCTCCTTGCCTTTTGGAGAACTAACGTGCAGTTCAGGAAGTCCAGGAAGAATTGGTGTGTTGTAGGGTAACTGCTACTAAATTCTAAAGACAAAGTGATGCTTAAGTTTCTTTAACGCCTATGGCATCAAAATGGAGCATATTGAAATTCCCAACCCTTATTCCATCGATTCTGTTCTGGTGACAACTATACATCTTTGGTTAAAACGACGACAATGTATCTCCTTGCCTCTCTTGTCTTTCCTGCCTAATTTACATGATCCAGTTCTGCCAGATTAATATTTGTGGCTGACACACTTCCTTTGAGTGCAGGTGAAACCTTGTGACCTCCCTTCTAACCCATAGAAAATGGGAAAGGTGATGGGCTGTCACTCCCTTGATGAGTTTACTATCTACAGCTTTATCTGTATCTGTATTATCAATACTGATAGCTGTGTGATTTCATCTTTCTTGTGCTGAGTAGAGATTCCCTCTGCTGGCTCTGAAGAAGTGAGCTGCCATGCCGTGAGAGAGCCTTGGGTAAGGCCTGCATGGCACAGAGCTGTGGGTGGCCTACAGGACCTGAGGTCAGAGGCCTCGGTCATACAGCCACAGGAAGCGCATGAGCCTCAGCGAGTCTGGAATAAGATTCTTCCCCAGTCAAGCCTCCAGATGAGCATGTGGCCTGGCTGATATCTTGCTTGTGTGATCATGAATAGAGAACTCAGTCAAGCTGTGCCTGACTCCTTTCCCCTGGAAACTGTGAGGCAATAAATGCATGTTGCTTTAAGCCACTAAATTTGTGGTAATTTGTTCTATAACAATAAAAACAAATACAATACTGTTAGGAAAAGCATCACTCTATGTATTGGTCAAGTCTTCACTGGCTTTTCATTGCTTTTGGAATAAAGTCTAAAAAAGCTTATAAGGACATTCAAGGCCTCTTATTATCTTACCTTATCAGGTCAACCTGATTAAGACTGTATCAATATGTAAAAAAAAAAAGAGTTACAGGGCAAAGACTGACTGGTGAAAGAGTCGCTCATGTGGCAGAAATAGCTAAGTCCTCATACCAGTCTCCCCAGACCTCTGCTTCATGCCCCCTATATTTCCCCCAGTTTAACTTCCTCTCTAATCATACCCATGTTTTACATTTCAATACTAGCAACAAAGTTATTTCATTTCCCAATTCTTCCTATGCCAAACCTACCCATTTTTCTAAAATCAAATGTGATGACTCCTCCTCACCCCAACCTAGACGTCAGTCATTACTCCTGATGCTGTATATTTCTCATGCTGCACCGTTATAGCCATAAATCCTGGTTATCATTCTCTTTAGCTGCTCAGCATCCAACATACTTTCCAATGTTTAGGGAATTCCCTATTTTGTGAGTCTTGGTGGGAAGCAGAGTCTGCCTTCCTCTATAGAAGCTAACCATGCCAAATTCTCACTTTCTCAGCATTGCTTTCAGTTAAGGTTCAATAAATGTGCAAACTGAACTGAATGTATTATTTAAATCTTTTAAGAATTTTGTAGAATTCTTCCAGATGAGAATAATAAATAAGTTATTCAAATAAATATACTCAGAATCTTCCAACTGAAGTTATAAATCTTAATTTTCAGGAAGGTTACATATGTAAATAGATATGTGTATAAAATTATGTGAATTTTTCTGAACCAGAGCATTTCATTCATTAATGTTTGAATATTTATTATAGTCCTGTGGCTCAGGAGATTGCACACACATATATAGACTTTGGCAATAAATTTTGTAAAGTTGGTAGGGAGGGCCTGCTGGAGTATTAATAGTCTGAAAACTTCTCATTAATGCTCCTATTAAGCTTTGTATTCTTACGAAGGTATTTGAAACAGTAAGTATTCAATTAAGATCTATTTAACACAAGAGTCAACTTTATTTAGGAAAGATATCTTATAGATTTCATTTAAAAACCAAACAAACTTTAATGTAACCTAAGACTGTCCTGTGGTAACCACTCTGTGTTCCTGTATTTCCAAAAGGTACTTATAAATTATAAAGAGGATTATGAACTTAGTGTCTTAAGTGTACCCATCATCACAACAGATGGAGTGAGTATATTGAACCTAGCAGGCCAAGGAATTTATTTCTTCTATTTAATATCATTTCCCTGCTCCTCCTGCCCCCCCCTCCCCCACCATCCCAACTCATGTGATTGCCAGGCAGTTAGTCAAAAGTCAAAGAAAACCACAGAATTTCAACTTACAGTATAAGAATTTCAGAATTATTGATTTTCAAGTGTCCTATTGACCTCAGTGGTCAACATTTTTTACTTATTCTCATCATAATGTCAAGCAAAGCTGGTCTCTACAAATGAACAGAAACAGCAAATAATAAAACACCAGAACGCCCCGGCTGGGTAGCTCCGCTGGTTAGTGTCCTCCCCGTACCCCAAGGTTGCAGGTTCAGGGCGCATACAGGAAGCTACCAGTAAATACACAAACGACTAAGCAGAACAGCAAATCTATGTTTCTCTCCCTCCCCGCCCCACCCCTTCTCCCTTCCCCTTTCTCTCTCAAATCAATAAAAATTTAAAAGAAAAAAAAAAAGAAAGAAAACACCAGAGGGCCTAAAGGATGCCGCATGGCCTAGTGAAAGAACAGCGGGTCTGCCATCCAGGACACTGACGGGTCTGCGACCTGGCGTTGGGAGGACGCCTGAGCTGGGGAGGAGGGGAGAGAAAAGGTTGCCATTTGCAGGAAATAAGAAACTCTACCTTCAATAATAAACTGTTGAATTAAAGCCTTTTGCCCAAACCAACACTTACCCCTCTTTTTGGCAGATCGGCTAGGACCTCACCCTGCCTGAAGCGGTAGTTCCTGCCCTGCTCTCAGCCCCCCGCCCCAGCTTCGGGCCTGTGCGATCGCATTTTGCTCCTTAAGGTGCGACCCAAGCCCCACAGTCACGGCAGCACCCGGGAGCTTCCTAGAAACGGGGACCCTCGGGCGCCGCTGAACCCGCCGAGGGTTCAGGATCGACTGACTCGGAAACTTCACCGTAACAAGCTCCCCGGCGGATACTTTGGAGGCTGCAACACAATTCTTACTTTGTCCCCTAGGTCAATTGATGAGATTATAAAAGAAAAACAAAGCCGTGGGATGAAAATATTTTCTAACAGAATTGACCACTGGCCATCAGAATGGCCCCGGTTTCCCCCTGGCTACCATTCATTCATTCATTCATTCATTCATTCATTCTTCATTCATTCATTCCTTCATTCATTCTCCATTCATTCATTCATTCCACAAATATTTCGGAGGAAAAGGCAGCAGGAGGAG